AATTGTAATAGGATTATTTTTATAACATTGTCTTTGAAAAGCCCCCTTGGGGAAAGTCAATAAAGTATGTATGTATGTATGTATGTATGATTAAGTTCTCTATCGCAGTCTATGGCTCCTGACACCCTTCAAGGCCTTCCTGTTGGTCGTTAGAGAGGAGGAGGTTTGGGCAAATGTACCCTCTTCTTACTTGTGGTCCAAGTTATTGGAAACTGAATTACATTGTACCAGTAGATGTGGTTCTAGGGAGCGAAATCGAAGTACCTGAGATTCCTGAGAGGCTTGTTTGGAAAAGTCTTTGCAACATCACACGAACGGCTACGGGTCCTGATGGCATCCCTTTTTGGGTTTGGAAGGAACATGCTGAGATTTTAACACCAATTCGCAGTGATATTTGGAATTTGTCTCTGCGCACGCACACCTGGCCTATGTCATGGAAAAGATCGAATATCAATCCGAAACCCAAGGTTGACTTACTTACAGTCTGACAACTGTGGTATAAATATCACTCCGGTTATAGCCAGGGTGCTTAAGAAAGCTGTTTATAACACCTTTGTGAAGGAGGCTGTGGTGGAAAACCTTAGCACCACTCAATTTGCTTATTGTGTAAGTGGAAATTGCATTAGTGCACTGTTAGCGATCCAGCACTTTATCAACAAACACTTAGATAATCTAGACTGTGAGGCAGTACGTGGAAGAGTGGTCATCGAGGTCACGGGTTCGAATCACGCTATAGGAGTTATTCTCAATCTGGCTTGGGGGCCGAATAACTTCTCCCCGAGTATGATTTGGAGCTGGCGGACAAGGAGTAACTCTCAAACTGGCTTGGGGGCCGAGTAACTCCTCCCCGCGGAATTTGCATTTTGTTTTTGCTGTTTTTTTTTCAACTTTTTCTCCTTATTATCATCTTATTTATCTTCTTTTTTACTTTTTCTCGATCGTTTCTGAGCAGTTTTCTTTTTCAGGCCACATTGTTAATTTTTAGTTATATTCTGAATCCTGTGGTGTTTTCTGTTGCTCAGAAGTTGCCGGCAAAGACTCTTTTTCCTTACAACAGAAATGTTTGTTTTCTTAATCCGTTTTTTGTATTTTTTTTACCTCTTTTCTTCCTTTTACGTTTTTTTGTATTATCCATTTCAAAGCTCTCTTGTATGGTTAAGGATGTTGGTGCTTGACGGAGAAGTATTTATCACAACTCTCCACATTTCACACCGGGAGCCTTAGGCGTATCCTACGCATCTTCTGGCTTAATGTCATCTCAAATAAAGATGTCTTTAGGAGACGCTGTAGGTGGATTGGACATGTCACCCGCCAAGACGCCTCTATCGCAAAAACCACTCTATACTGGACACTTGAAGGGAAACGCGAGAGGGGCCGCCCCAAGAACACCTGGCGGTGGACAGTAGAGAAAGAAATTTTGGAGATGGGGGAGGCCTGGGGGTTATCAAGCTCATGGTAATAGACGAACAGATGTGGAGGGAGCACGTTGCTGCCCTAAATGCCACGTAGGCGCAAAAGGGCATGAGTTTGAGTTTGAGATGAGCTGAAAGACCGTTTCAATGATAATGCAAATTTTGTTATTATAAAAGGACTGCAATCTTCTCTAGAGTCACTCAAAGAAACATGTAAACAAAGGTAGAGTGCTGTCAGTTCTGAAAACTTTCTTGAGGGATTTATAGGAGCCAAAAGACCAATAAAGTCTTTAACAAGAAGCTGGTTTCTATGAAGCAGATATGTCCTACTCAACGTCAGAGAAAATGGATTGAGGATTGCAAACTTGAAAAGAATGAAATGATCGATTAAAAAGAAGTCTACTTATCCCCGTTCAAATGCTGTACAGTAACCAATCTGATCGTTTTCCAGTTTCAACTTTTACACAGACGACTTGGTATTTCATTTGGTTATGTAAAACGCAGGAAATTCTCTTCCATGTCATAAGCCTTCTTTCAATGTCTGTTAATGTCTTTCATGTCTCTGTACTAACTCTATCTTTCACAAACTAAATGCATCCACAGAGGTTAAAATACGTGATACCTGGATAGCAATCATTTCCCAAATGCACACCCTTGATAGCTTCTTTGAAAAGTGTCCGAATCTTCGTGTTTAACAAGCCCCGGCAAATGAATCCGTCCGCCATTACGACATATGCTAATTTTGTGTTCCTCGTTTATATCGCTTTTACCAGTTCTTTGTATGATTCATTTCCTTTATTCTTGACCGGAAACGCTCGATTGCACTCTTAGTCCGACAAAGTTCCTTACCCTCCCCCCCAGCCTGGTATTTCAAAACTCTTTGCACCGACAATTTATACATATTAAATATGTAGTTTCGAGATGGTCGAATGGCAATCGTGGGCGCGCAACGAGTGCAAGAGAGGTCATCGAGGTCGCGGGTTCGAATCACGCAATAGGAGTTATTCTCAATCTGGCTTGGGGGCCGAATAACTTCTCCCCGAGTATGATTTGGAGCTGGCGGACAAGGAGTAACTCTCGAACTGGCTTGGGGGCCGAGTAACTCCTCCCCGCGAAATCTGCATTTTTCTTTCGCTGTCTTTCCTATTTTTTCCTTAAAACGATCATTTTTAACTTCTTTTTTCTTATTTTTTTTTTCCGAGAAGTTATGTTATGGGTGCATAGTGATATTTTTGTTGATACGGTTTGGTACTTGTCAGTTGCTTTTTTTCCCCTTCCTTTCTTTTACAAGTCTTTGTTTAATTATCGAACATTGAGTACCGCGTCTTGTGAAAAGGTAAAATAAAGTAAAAGAAATGTATAAAGACATTCTTTGGAATGCGCTGTATAGAAATGCCCGGTATATGTGTATTATTCTTGTAGCTAACATCTTTTGGCGCTCTGGCCACGCAATAGTTCGCCCTCTCTTCCAGATTTCTCCTTTATCCACCGTAGTTGCCGATGTGTCTTTACAGTATCTATGTTACAGCTATGTAACATGACCGTTTTGACCACGCCTTTAATAGGGACACTTTGGCCGCCAAATCGTACCTTCAATGCGCAAAAATATGGTCAAGAGGAACTCGCTAGGCGCTAAGGTTATTTTGATTATTTCTAATTTTAAATTCAGCTATCAACCAGAAAACGCAAAATTTCGTGTCCTAGGCACTTTAAGAAAGTTGTACAAACAACAGTTGAAATTACGGGGAAATTCTCTGTTGAGCTTCGTCGGAAAACCCCACTGGCTGACATTTTTCAAAGCCCTAAAACATCTGGCAGAAAAGGTTTACCCAAAATCCCTCCGGAGAAATCCAGAGAACTGCAGAGAGACATGCACATAGCTTTTGTGGACTCCACCAAAGCCTATGATACAGTTAACCAGAACTTCTCTACAATATCATAGCCAATGAAATTTATTAGAATCATAAAGGAACTGAACACAGATGTACATGCAAAACTCATAGTCTGTGGCGACCTCACAAGACACTTTTGGGTACAAGAGCGGTTTTAGACAGGGTTGCAAACTAGCTTCCATATTATCTCTGGTTAGCATACAAGAACATCGAGCACACGTGCAGTATTACAGTCCATTTAGAACACATATTGATCTATTTGATTTGCGTCCAATTTTTCTGTTAAAATGGATGTCTTTTCGATGGTACTTTTAGTAGGCTAGAAGGAAATGTGAATTGCCTTTTCGTGTATCAGCACAGCCGCAAACCTTACAAGTCTTTGTTAATTACCTTAACAAATGGAGTTTTATGAATGCCGCGTCAAATGAAAAGTGAACACAAAGTGAAAGAAATGTATGTATGTATGTATGTAAAACGCATAACGATCTCATAGCGAAGACCAAAATCGACACTTACAATCAGTGCCTCCAGTCTACAGCAATGTACCGAAATGAAACCTGTGCAATGCAAGTTAGAAGGAGGTAAACGTTTTCTCAGTATGTCTACGTGCCGAACTCTGACGTTGGGAGGTCATTCCGAATGCAGTAAAGGAAATCCAAAAATTCATCGGAAAAAGAAAAAGAAAGAAAATTGGGCAAAGCAAGCTAGGGAAAAAGAAAAACTTAGCTTCGATTTCTTCGGCCCGGGCTCTCTCGTGACTATTCGGCTGTTTGATGAATACTTTACGTATTAAATCCTTTGCGAAATGTGCCATAAATTCCCTTTTGTCGTGTAATGGAAGACACGATGCAAACAAAATGTGCAAATTGAGAGGCCTTTCCGATTGTGACAAGTACCAAAACCGTAGAAGATAAATGCTCAGAAACAAAAAAAGGAATAGGAAAGATAACAATGTTGATAAGAAGGGGTAAAAATAGTCAGCAAAAACGCATTTTTCTGTGAACGTATTTATTATAAATAGATTTCCTTTACTTTTTGTTACATTTTCAAAGACGCGGCAGTCAGTTGTTAGATTCATCCACAAAGACTTGTGAAAGAAAGGAAAGGAAAAAGAAGCAACTGACAAGTACCGCCTCAAAAGTAAAAAAAACAGAGAAAACACTGGGAAACTACAGTCTTTACCGAGACCTGAAACAAAATGCTTTTTTTTTGTTTGCTTTTTATGAGTTTTTTTCTTTTGTGGTTCCTTTCAATAATTGACACACTATTACCTCGCGCCCGTTCTCTCTCTTTTTTTAAATTATTGGACAGACATAAACTACGTCACTACACGCGGATCTTCCGCAAAATTTTACCAAAATGGCATGATAGCATTCTCAGTTCTGGATAAAGCAGGCATGGGGTTTTACCAAACATAAGTTATCAAAAAATGATACCGTATGGAAGCTGACTTATATTTACATTTATATAATAAGCTAAAATATGCACGCATTCTGATTGGTACTCACTTATGATCTATTGGAGGACAGACGTATAGATGACGTCATCATTAAAACTTTTTTTAATTCTTTATTATATAAAACAAATAGATTCCAAGTTGCCGTGCGTCTGTTACCGCGGGTAACATTTGTATGTCATGTATGGTAAAGTGAAATGTTCTGTAATTTCCGTGAAGCTTACATGGGTTCTATAGCCCTAGATGCCAGAGCCGCGACAAAAATGGCGACAGAGCCACAGGCGAAGAAAACTCGCGTGGAGTTAAAGTTAGTAGAATCTTCGTTCGTTATATAACTTTGAGCGATTGAATAATTTATATGCAAAATTTGCTATTTTTCGTTTTGGTGGGATAGTCTTCCTGCAATTTTTGAAAAATTCGTAGGATGTACTTCTTCAGCAAATTTCAACAACACTGTCTACAGTAGGTACAACTAGCTGTACATATTGTAGACAGTGTAGATAGCTGTACTTATTGTAGACAGTGTAGATAGTTTTACCCATTGACAGTGTAGATAGCTGTACCTATTGCAGACAGTGTAGACAGCTGTACCTACTGTAGACAGTGTAGACGGCTGTACCTACTGTAGACAGTGTAGATAGTTGTACCTACTGTTGACAGTGTAGATAGTTGTACCTACTATTGACAGTGAAGATAGTTGTACCTATTGTATTGCAGTGTAGATAGTTGTGCCTGCTACAGACAGTGTAGATAGCTGTACCTATACTGTAGACAGTGTCGATGGATGTAGTTGTATCTACTGTAGACAGTGTAGATGGATGTACCTATTGCACCAGTTGACACAGTGCTATGTCTTACATAACAGTTCCAAAAATTGACACAACAATATAGCCTACATGAAGAAATTTTACAAAGTGACTATATGTTGTTCTACCTGACAGTATATACCAGAAGTTGGGAAATATTAACCCCATGTGTCCAGCTAGCCATTGGGCAATAAGTCGTACCAGCCTATAAGACAATAGTTAAATTTTGAGTCATTCTCTCAAATGGCTTCAGCGAACAGCCAGTGGTCTGCCACCAGTTAAACTCAATCTTAGCTCACCAGAAATCTGAATTATACAATGACTAGGTAAGCTTCAGAAACATTTCAGCTTTACTAAGTCCAGTGGAAAATCAATATTTAGTGTGTCAGTTTAGAAGGGTGAAATATATTTGGAATGCTTATATTATGAATGAAATTCTAGTGTACTCGTAAATGATCATTCTAAATCTAACTTCATTCAATCTACTAGCTTGCCTGCTTTTGCATAGAGTTTTAGTTCTCTGCTATGAAATTTCAGATGTAAATACTAAATCTCAACTCAAACCTCGGTCAAATTTGAATTCTGCATTATTATGATGTAATTCATGTTGATTTCGTACTCCAGCTGTTCGAGATCTCTATGATTAGTGCCACTTCTTTCTCTTCCCTTTGTATCAAGAGTGGAGGAAGTTCCATAATTGTGTCAAAAAGACAAAAAAAGGGAAATATTTGTCTATTATTGAAGCCTTTTTGTCAAGCAGAAACCTGCAGATGTGAAACTACTATACACTTAATGCAGGGTTTTCACTTGAAACAGGTTGTTTTTAATTCCACAAAATGAGTTGATTTTCAGACCCTCATTGAAGGCGAGTGAATTATCATCAGTTTTCAAATCTCTCTTATTCAAGAAGATAGTACAAAATTTTCCCACCAGATTCCACATTCAATTGATTTAAAGTGGAATGTTGTGTAGTGTGAAAGTATAAATTAGGTTTGGTTTTTTTAAGATAGAAACAAGATAAAATTCTGTCAATTTATAAGACATGTTCGACAATAGTTAAACATCTATTTAATGAACTTCAAGGTTGGATGAACAGCTTTAAATACAACAGCAAGTCTTCATTTATTTTTAGAAAGTTAAGCTTAAAGTTATCTTAACCTGAATATATTCCTTTCACCCTATTTAAAATCACTGCTAAACTATTTCTTCTAGGGAAGGAGTTGTCCTTACATTTTGAATCCTCTTTTGGATATCTCTGCCACTGTTGATAAAGATTTCTAATACAAGTAAGTTGTATGAGTTTACTACTTTGTATAGAACCAGAAATGATGTCCCTTTACTTGAGTGTTACTGCAGCTTGGTGAAACATTAAGATGGAGTACACTTTTCAACACCTATCATTTAAAAAGGCTTTGGATTAAAGTGGGGAGACGCATCCATCTGATCTATATTCAGTACTCTTGTTTGAGCATTTTAACCCTGTAACTTGCAAAAGTGATTAGCATGTAAATTCTCCTTATAATAGTCATACAGCATCCAGCAAACAAGTAATGAGAAAACTCAAACTTGTCAGGTGGAAGTTATCTTGATCTAACACCAAATTCTTATAACTAATTTACAAGGAAATGTAAATCAGCTAGAGGGGAGAATTAACAATTAGATCTTAGGAGGTAAAGGGTTAAATATAACCACTGAATTTCCTTTTGTTGATTCAAATTTGATTTTGATGCAAATGCTGTTTTTAATAGGAAACCAAACGGTTCCTATCTGTAAGTCCAACCCATTCAGATTTAATTTTAAGACTTTAAATCAAGCATGAGCCCCTAACTAAGAAATAAAAACTTATCAATGATTACATTTGATTTTTGTCTTATTACTTTTTCCACATTATGATAGTTTTTTCTTTCTGTTCTTGTATTTACAGGTTTGGACATGAAGCTAACAGTGCTATTTTGGTAGAAGAAAAATACATACCAATGTTAGCTTAGAGTAGAGTTTTATGCTTATTGCACATCATTCAGATGAGGTGTAGTGATTGTTATTTTTGAAAAAATAACAATCACTAACAGTTAAGACTGTTTCAATAATTGCAAACACTTCATTTCAGTTATCAAGAAATGACAGAGAAATTCAATGCAGAGTTCATTCCTGGTGGAGCTGCACAAAACATGATTCGAGTTACCCACATAGTCAAGGAAATAACCTAAACAGGGATAGAGGCTGTGGTTTCTACTCAGAGCAGAGTAAAATCTCTTACACCATTGCACTTTGATTAAAATCAGATTTTTCGCAAGCAATCACAATGCCTACAATTTGTTCATAAAACCAATAAGCACAATGTAATTATGTACATGTAGGAAACCTGTTTCAGTTCATTCTGTCCTGAGAAAAAGTAAATTGATATTTTTATGTATTCCTATATTATAGCAAGTTAGATCAATTTATACCTGAAAAACATTACAGTTTAGATTGATTACAAAAAACAAAGCAAATAAAAGAAAAGAAGGAAGTGAAGAAAGTGTTTCTTTATTATGAGAATACTGGTTTCCACAAAGTAGTGTACATTCAAAAGTTACTGAAAGGGTTGTTTTTGAGTATGGAATTACAGAATTCATGTGAGATGAAATAATTTGATGTTTGGAAAACCCCGCATACATCTGAACTAATCCTTTTGCCATGTTGGGTAGTTTTTGGCTTTTAGGAAAGGATGGCAAAAATACATCTTATATTGGCTGTGTAGGTGAGTTTGAAGTTTTTATCTAATTTTATACTCAGGGTTTTATTCCAGGGAGTGACTAAGACTGAATTTGAGAAAAGGAAACAATCAAAAAATGGATATGGTCTGATTTAACATCCAATTCTAAGTGCAAAATTAAATGAAATGTATAGCAGACAGTGAAGAGAATTGAAATTTAGATCATGGAAGTGAAAGGATTACAACACACAAGACCTTTTTTCATACAAGGTGTTCAATACGCTCTGTTTAGCCAAGAGATGGATGCACATTTTACTTGTGGTTTATTATAGACTAATCAATTTTGTCCACTCAAGGATAATTTTGTGTGGGTATTTAATTAAATAAGGTTAACTGTGGTCAACTTCAGAAAGCTGTGAACACCTGAAACATCTCTGAGATGTCCATTATGTTATAACTAATAATAGAAGAAAAGTGAGCAAACTATCCATACATTATCCAGAAAACAGTAAATGAGAATATTCAAACAAATGATTCATCAAATATATTTGCTGGTACGCAATTGGTCCAAATACATCACGTGACCAAATATCTCCCAGCTAAGAGTGGGTGATACCCAAGGATATCATTCATTAGACAACTGATATTCCCCAATTTTCAATCCTTACATCCACTATGATAAGTCTTTGTTTATAATTTAATTCAAGGTGAGAAAGAGTTTTCTGGTTGTTACAGAAGAGGGAAATATTAGTTTGTTCATAAAGTTGTAGCAGAAAGCACTCCAAAGAAAACATCCCATGTACTTACCAATAAGCTACTTTAGACGCACATTTCAAAATATTTGAAGGATATTAAACACAATAGCCTCTATTTGGTATGAAACATGCTTGTATATTTGTCCTCAGACATTATCTGCTCTCAAATCTCACAGTTCTCCTTTGCTCTTGGAAGACTGTTCACATCTTGGAGCACAGAATGTCTGCAGACAAATATCTGTGTATATTTTTGCATCAAATAGATGCTACTGTTTATTTCTTATACCCATGTTAAACAAATTGTCATACAACAAACTTAATGTCTAGCTAGACAATATGATACCTGTGATCCAAAAAAAATTTATCATTCACCCAGAAGGTCTCAATGGGATGATGGCTTTTACCACTTGTGGTTTAAATTTTGGCCATTTTACAGGTATCAGTTCATTTCTTTCCCTATGGTATAGGCCTAGAGTGAAGTTTGTGCTTTTCCTAATGGCCTTGGAGAATTCACCTGAAAGATAGTGACAGATAAAAATTATTACCAAAGGTCAGTTAGCTTGTGATCAGAGTCCTGTTACTGCTATGGTACAAGCTGCAAAGCAGGAGATTGGCCAGCAAGGGAACCAGCCACAAGAAAAAAAGATATTCTGCAATTGGAATGTTATTGTCTTCCTGTCACAGTGCATTCATTTACCAAAGGAGCATTCTGATTGGTGGAATTGACATATGGTATCCTAAAACAAAAACTGCACTGGCAAGGACCTTTTGTGCAAGTCCCAATAGTTATTCAGGTTTCCCCCGAAAAAGGTACTTTATTTCTTTTTACATGGGTCTATGTTCACATTTCAAAATTGCATGGCAGCTTTTTAGCATCATCTGACTTGGTTTTTTGTTGATTCTTTCAAATTTTACCTCTGTTTAACTGATCGTAAGTGTGAATGGTACCTTCTGATTGTTAGAATTTTGGGCTTATACATTTGATGATGAAAAACGTACCTATAAGATCCTTGTGTGGACCATTGTCAACAGAGTTCTAGTTCCATGATACATTTGATCTCCTGCTTTGTCCAACCTTCATGACATCTACTGGTCAGGACTACATACCTGTTCCAGAAAACATTTCAAAAAAAAAAAAGGAAAAAGAAAGAGAGAGAGAAATAATCAATATTCCACAGTTAAGGAAGTTAATTTAACAATGATTTGAAACTTGGTACTTAAAGTTAATCTGAAAATAAAATAAATTTCTGGGATTGAAACATTACAAAATTTCCAGGATCAAATTGATTTATTCCACATTAAATAAGTTATGCAACTGGTTCTAGGCATGATTTAAGTGTTTTTCAATGACAATGAGTGACCAAGACATAGGTTTTCCCTACAATATCAATACAATATGAAGCAGACAAGTTATGACAATAAAGAAAATTAAGGGATTATTAGTTCAATCAACAACAACTTTTCCAAACTAACATGACAAGAGTTGTATGGGGGCAGTAAGGAGAATTGCTAGTAAGAGCTTGGGAGTAAAAGGGTTAAGTAACGAACACCTCGAAAAGATTAAAAACTCCTGTAAGCAAATACTAAGCCAGGGTCCCATGAATTGAAAAACATATACTGTTTCAAGCTTTTATAAAACAGTGACTAGCTTATACTTTCTGTTGTGTCTGAGACAAGTGTGCCGATTTGACTGCATCTTTTAAACACATTCTAATATTTTCATAGTGCTAAACTGCAGTTTTACAAAGAAATCCTCCAATAGTTAGATGAAATAACATCCAGCCAGCATCAGGCAAGATAAAACATCCATGAACTACTTGAAGAAGTTTTGGCTTCTCATCTGATTGGCCAATTAAAACCAATTCACAAAACAGAAAGCCAAACTGCACCAGTTAAAATCATAATATCTATCCATTCAGGTCAACTCTCATACCTTGCCCCAGACCTGGACAGTAACTCTGCTCAGATGGTTGGGTCAAAAAACTCAGCTTTAAACATTGGTGCAAAGTCAGCATATTCAAAGTTTGGTGGGTAATTCTGCTTCATAAATTCCACAAAGTTTGGTATCTGTTCTTCTTTCCACTGGTATCAGAATCAGTCAGATCCATAACTTGGTACTGATTATACTCCCCAGTGAATGAATACACCAAACTTAGCCTCGTCGTACCAAGCGGGGAGGGGACGATCGAGAGTCTAATTACCTCCAAGTTGGTTTGTATTGAGCTGAACCGTAATTCAAAGAAATAAGAAGAATACAACAAACAGTAAGACAATGCGTCATGTCTGATTTCAATTCCGTCCAATTTCAGCCTGTTTGGATGCGGAATGTAACACTTTACGCTTCTAGATCTTGAAAGATTTTAAAATCAAATTAACGCGGTCCGAAGCAGCTTCGATTGATTTTTCCCAAGGAATCTGCACAAAGAAGAGACCACCAAAAGGGATTGTACATCTTAGGATTTCCTCCAAATTTAGGCATAAAGAGTAAATAAAAACACTAACGCAAAATAAGGCTTACCAACCACCATCAGAGACGAGCAAGAACAAAATTAATGACCAGGTACATTGAAATTGAACGTTTCCAATGACAAGTCCGGTGCAGGTGGTCTCTGTTTCCCGTAGTAGTACATCCTCCTCTGGAGAATTGTCTCCCAAAAACTGGCGAAGCATTCTTCGCTGTTGTGTTCGTTACAAAAGTAAATGGAAACTACGGAATTCTACAAAAGCTTTCCACATCCTTTTACTAGTTTCAAGTCTCCATCCAGCTTGTTCGTAAAGGTCTTCTACCACCTTCAACACCTACCCCACCCCTACGACTAAAGTACATTCTAAAAATGTCAATCAAACTTTGATCAGTGAGGATCAGACTCATAACACGCTGCCAAATGCCGTCGTGGTGGAAAAGGACTCTCTTCAAGCGAATATCGAAATATCTTATACTAAATGGACAAGGATCAATCGGCTTCTATGAAAACTATAAAGTTCCAGGAATTCTGTCTTTGAAGAACACAAAAGAACGGTTGATCGCAACCAAACGTTATTGAAGTTTTGGACTGCTGTAGGTGAGTAGAGTTCATGAGGTAAGCTGAAAAGGTCAAGATCAATTCTGGATCTCGTTTTCTGTACTTATATGTCAAAAGGATTCGATTATTTTTATCATCACTTTATCATCTAGAACTCGGCCGCACAGTGGATTAAACAGTCTTTGCGACGGGAAAACTTTTCTTAAAGACCAACAGGTAAGTTTCCAAACGTGTAATATTGTCTGTGAATTCGTACCAAAAGGAGTTCAAAGCCTTAGTCATTCGTGCTTATTTTTAACTATCAGAAACTTGCTCAGGTGTTGATGTAAATAGTTTTGAGAGAGTGAAAACGCTCTCCATAATATTTTTCAAAGCAGCGGCGGTGGAATTAGGGCACCACGTTGTTGAGTGTAGACGCAGCCTTCATTGAGCGCAAGCACAGCGCAGACACCTCGCCGAAGTTAGTCATTCAACAGTTGTCGTTTTTCCACTTAAAAGCCGTCTTATCGCAAGTTTACTTTAGCAAAATAATTTATTACTTTTAGTGTATGAAATGTGTTTGATTTATGGCCCAAAACTCTATTATGATCAAGAATAATTTTCGAGAAGATAACTAACAGAAGTCGTAACTGACGTTTGTATTGATTCAAACTGCTGTATGATTCGAAAGGGTTTTCTGATAAATCTTCTCGAAGTATAAAAAGATCAATTTAAATATTTTTCACTTCAATCAAAGAAACAGCGA